GTATTTCTTTTGGCACACACAAGCACACACAAGCACGCACACACACAAGCGCACACGCACACACACACACACACACACGTATATATAAATGTGATGATTCCCTGTGATTTCCGGTAGACGGAAGGAGTGGAAAGGATGTATGTGTGAGCAAGTTGAAAAGTCTTTTAAGTTCTCACACTTTTTAAATATATATATATTTCCGGTTTACATTGCATAGTTTGTCACTTCTCGCTCCCTCCCTCCATCCCTCCTTCCTTCTCTCCTTCCGTCCTTCCCTCCCTCTCTCTCTCTCTCCTCTCTCTCTCTCCCTCTCCTCTCTCTCTCTCTCTCTCTCTCTCTCTCTCTCTCTCTCTCTCTCTCTCTCTCTCTCTCTCTCTCTCTCTCTCTCTCTCTCTCTCTCTCTCTCTCTCTCTCTCTCTCTCTCTCTCTCTCCTCTCCCCCCCCCCCTCTCTCTCTCTCTCTCTCTCTCTCTCTCTCTCTCTCTCTCTCTCTCTCTCTCTCTCTCTCTCTCTCTCTCTCTCTCTCTCTCTCTCTCTCTCTCTCTCCCTCTCTTGCTCTCTCTCTTGCTCTCTTTCGATTGCCGTCCAAGAAACCAACTCAAAAATTAATAAGTGAGATTTTTTTTTATCATTATTATTATTATTATTAGTAGTAGTAGTAGTAGTAGTAGTAGTATTGTCATTGTTATTATTATCATTATTATCATTATTATGTTTTCAGACATCTCATCCCAAGGGGGGGGGGTGTCCAAAATCAACTGAACGCAAAACTCTTTTGCTCAAAAACCTATGTAGAATTATATTGAGCTTTATATTTATAACACATCAATACTATCTAATTTTCCAGTGTCATTACATTATGCTTAGTATGAAAATAAGTGACTCGTAGAAAAAAAGAGAAACAAAAAATGAAATACAAAAATATATATATTTGATAAGCTAATGGCAGACACCACTGGGGATACTGAGAGACTTATCACACCTATAATTTAAAATCGGGCCGTTTGAACAATTCACTGATAAGACAAATGAACTATCCGTGAGAAAAAAAAAATCAGTAAATTTTATTACAGTACAAGGTACCCATCGCGTAAGAACTCAAAAAGTATCTGAAATGATTTAGGCTCGTTGTGTTCGTCTCGGGGAGTGGGGTGGGGTGGGGTGGGGTGGGGTGACCTCCCGGACATAGCTTGCCCCGCCCAAGGAAATGTGAAATGACGCCCATGATAATATCTCAAAAAAAAAAAAAAAAAAATCCACTTGTCCGTGATAGTGAGATATAAGCCGAAACATTTGTGTGTGGTGAGTGCCCGTTATCTTACCAAAGAGACCGTTCTGCCGCTATTACTTATATAATTTCCTTAAGTGTGTGTTTTAGGTGTAGTCTGTGAAATTGTATATGAAACAGATGAAGTTCTTATACATATTCATGCACGTACGCGCGCAAAAAAAAATATATATATATACAGAGAGAGAGAGAGAGAGAGAGAGAGAGAGAGAGAGAGAGAGAGAGAGAGAGAGATAGATAGATAGATAGAGAGATAGAGAGAGAGAGAGAGAGAAAGAGAGAGAGAGAGAGAGAGAGAGAGAGAGAGTGAGTGAGTGAGAGAGTGAGAGAGATCAAAGTAGAGATCACACCAAGGCCCAAGTTATAACACAGCCCACACTACTTACGTGTTATGTTTGACTTACCTCTGAATGTAGATGCGTTGTACGGTCGCAGACAACGAATCTCTGATAGATCCTTAGGTATGACGTAACCCTGCTTTCATTTCTACATTAAATTCGGGTTGAGTTATGAATTAATCTATTTTTGTATTGCTTTCATTTCCCTATTAAACTCGGGTTTTGCTTTTGATTTATTTATTTTGAAACAAGCTGAGGTTCCCTATTTTACTGATAAGGGTTAATAATGCTGATGATTTTAGTAATTGATTTCGATAAATAATTCTAATAATCTGGCATCAAATGCGAATAAGAAAACAAATTGAAGAAGAAAAAGATAAAATTCGCACAGATCGTGACAAGGTGATGGACGAGCCTCACCTACGTTAGCGCCTCATCATTGCCAGGAAATCCTAACTAGTATGGATCCTGTTCAGCGGCCTCTTCCTCTCGCCTGTTTATGCCTGTTTGTTTTTATGATTATGCGTCTGTGGAGCTGTTTATGCATCTGTGTGGATGAATGTAAACTTCTTCTGTCTTGTGTGTGATTCTCTCTCTCTCGGTCTCTGTCTCTCTCTCTCTCTCTCTCTCTCTCTCTCTCTCTCTCTCTCTCTCTCTCTCTCTCTCTCTCTCTCTCTCTCTATATATATATATATATATATATATATATATATGTATGTATGTATGTATGTATGTGTATATATATGTATATGTATATATATGTATATGTATATAATGTGTATATATAAGTATATGTGTGTGTGTGTGTGTGTGTGTGTGTGTGTGTGTGTGTGTGTGTGTGTGTGTGTGTGTGTGTGTGTGTGTGTGTGTGTGTGTTTTGTATGTATGTATGTCTGTATGTATGTGCGCACACTTACTAAAAAGTGAATCTTAACCTTGTCCATTCTTCCTCCCCTTATCACCGCGTAAGTGTGAGTCGAAGTGCCTGTGAAGTGGTTTTCTCCTTGTCACTCACACATCGTCACTCTTAACCATGGCACCAACTTTCTATAACGTTTTCTTATTTTCATTCCAATATTAATGAGACTGAGGCTTGCTGGGTATTAGAAAATGGCTTTAAATTCAGTAGGTGTATGTGCGGTCACGTTGTAAAAGCGGGTCCTTCGAGGGTTTAGGAAAGAAAAATAAATGAGAGTAAAAGGGAAATAGTTCCTGGGTGGTTCTTCTTTCCTTGTAGGGAGAAAGTTTTAGGACAGTTTCCTGATGGAGTTAAATCAAGTTTTAAGCGCTTGGTTAAGATATATTTGAGGCCAAAATGAAAATAACAACTAGAAAAAATTAAGTAGAACAACCTTGTTTCATCAATATAGGTTGTATATCACACTATTACCTCCATCATTTTAATGAGTTGACGCCCCTATATAGGCTCCATTCAGGCGGCACCCTTTAATGACTAATTGGCAACGCATACCCATTACTTTGCGAACTTGATAAACTATATAACGGAACACAAGGTAGATAAAACCCAAAATTAATCCCAATTAATAAAGTTTTATCCATTCTTTTCATATTTTCTCAACAACAACACGTTAAACAGTAACGATAATTAACGGGAAATAAGGGTAACTGGCAAGGATTCCAACCGGATTACTGATGCTCTCGAACGCGAACGCTTTAGTAAACATCGGGACGTCAGAGGGACAAGTCACGGACAATTAAAAGCCATGTCTGTTCTCAAGAATCTGTTTAAAAAGGATAAGGTAGGGGAGTGATTTGTTTAAAGTTGGGATTTAAGATGTTGATATGATGTGCGTATGCTTAGTTTAAAGCTTTGTGACTTGGAAAACTTGAATGATAACAGTAGTAGGATGTTAATTTCCGTGTTCAGTAAGTTCGGTATTTAACCAGAAATAATTTGATTCACGATTATTTTGTATGTATATTTTCTGCAATATATTTGTTTATTTATTTATTTATTTGAGAAATTATTGAAATCTTTTATTTTAATATATAGTCGTCAGTAGGGACGAAGGAATGAATAGGGAATTAATGAAAAGAGGTCAGACTTATGTTACAATTTTTACTGACAGGTCTCCATTATAGTAATCTTTTCAGTATTTTTTTTTATTGATATTGTTATTATAAATAGCAAAATTAGAGCTATTCCATTTAAGAACGAACTGATAGGCCACCCTGAGTTAAAGAAAGATTAAAATTGAAGTCAAAGTGAGATGTGTTTTCTAAGGTACATGATGAGAAAGCAAGGTGGTTAAGTTCCTCTTCTGATATAGATAGGTATCTATCTATCTATATGTATATGTAAATGTAAATATATATATATATATATATATATATATATATATATATATATATATATATATATATATATATATATATATATAAATTATATCTATATAACATCTATTTATCAGTCTATCTCTCTATCTTCACACATTTATAAGTCCATAATCTATACTTACGATTTAACACATTATATACTTAGCAGTGGTTAAAGAAACAGACAGATAATTATGAATATATATATATATATATATATATATATATATATATATATATATATATATATATATATATATATATATATATATATATATTATATATATATATATATATTATATATATATATATTATATATATATATATATATATATATATATATATATATATATATATATATATATATATATATATATATTGTATTTATAATGTATATGTATATGTATATATACATTATATATTTATGTATGTATACATATATATGATATGTATATAATGTATTTATTTATGTATATGTATATTATATGTTTGTATATATATATAATATATACATATATGTATATATACACATACATATATATGCTATATGTATATATGTATATGTACATATATTATATATATGTGTGTGTATATATATGTCTATGTGTATATATATAAATAAATATGTATATAATATATATGCATATATCTAATACATATATATATATATATATATATATATATATATATATATATATATATATATATATATATATATATATATATATATATATATATATATATATATGTATGTATATAATATATATATATATATATATATATATATATATATATATATATATATATATATATATATATATATATGTATGTATATAATATATATATATATATATATATATATATATATATATATATATATATATATATATATATATTTATATATATAATGTATATATATATATATATATATATATATATATATATATATATATATATATATATATATATATATATATATATATATATAAATATATATTTATATATATATATATATATATATATATATATATATATATA